TTAAATATTTGTCTGAGGTCTCAGCATACCCATACACATGGAAACAACGCTATGATTGACAGTTATATCGTATCTATGATAGTGTGACAAATAATTGTTGTGATTCTTCGTCACTTAGGTCACACAGGATTAGATCGTACCTTCATTGTCAGTACTAGGTATCTTCTAGAGATAACAGCTCGCTCAGTCCAATAACAAGACGCAACTTAGTAAGTTTAGTCTGTCTAATTTGGAACTTGAGACTCCCAAACTCTAATTTGATTGAAATGCTTCCACAAAATTCAATGTTTTTTAACTACTACACAAGCTTTCTCTCTCAGTTAATCACGTGGTACAGTCAACCCACGCCTACGAAGTTAAATTTCTGTTCCACTCCGGTCACGCGGAAATCGGTCATCGAAAACCTTGGGGGATAATTGTCTGGGTCAAAGTTCATTCATATGACGGGTCAACTGTGATGTTCATTAGTTTATTATGTACAATCATGAAGCTAATGTCTCATGGTACAATGAAATAGCATTATTTTGTGTGTTACAGTTAAGCTTTTTGAAAAACATGTCCAAATATTTCTTGAAAATCACTATTTTTAGAACAATTCCATAGAACACAGTGTTAAAGATTTTTTTAAATAATTCAGAACAACAAAAAGTACTCCTTCATTAACAATATATCATTTTTTCAGCCTATGTCACCAGACTAGGTTTTGAGATATTGCATAATATCTCTGCCATAGGAACCTGTGGTAAAAGCATTATAATAGTTCCAAAATGGCGACTTTATAATGCTTTTTATGCCACTAATACAACCATCAATTTCTCCAACTTCCTCCCAACTTTTTTTAAGTCAGTATCCTCATATTGCCTTGGAGTACAATTTAGTGCGAAATGATTAATTTCTGGGTACATGTTAATTTATGAGTAGGCTTCTACCTTAATACATAGAGGGGATTGTAAAACCGCAGATTAAATACGTCCATTGTCTTGAATATATTAATTTCCTCGACATCAACATCTAGTAATTTGGGAAAGTCAGCAAATGCTACATGTATATCCTACTTTCCTCCCAGCTTCTAATATAAATAGCGTCTTAGTTAATTATTTCTAATTTAGCTTTTTAGATTTGAATCTAAACTTTATGAATTTAGAAATAGATTTAGATATTTCTAATTTAGTTTTCTAAATTTGAATCTAAAATTATAACTTATTATAAATATAGCTAAAATTATAAATATAGCTATTACACAACCCTGTACTTTAATGGCCCGACCTCAGTGACGTCATTATACTTTATACATTTCTACAAGTCCCTGATAGTCACGGCTGATATAGTTAATATCATATGATGTCATCGTTAGAAATGCTCTACCGAAATAATAAATGAGTATGTTGTTTCGTATTATATCAACGACATCCCCGGGTGGTCCCTTTCCGAATCCCTTTGTGAGATCGTGCATTCAGTCAATCACGCATGAATTAGCCAACAGGATACAGGTTAACCATTTATACGAACTTGACTACACAGTTGGTCTAAAACTAAATTACAGGTATGACAGCAGTCAACTTCGTACACACTCACTTGGGTGATATCTAATTCTATAGATCAAAGCATGGAAGGTACTAGTACCTTCCATGGTCAAAGTAACCTTATTTATAACGTGATCTTAATCCTGAAAGTAAAGATCTTAATCCCACGCCATGGCAATGATTGGGTGAAAAATCTATTAAACTACCAATAACGTAATATCTATTAAAATGGATTGTAATTACTGAAAGTGTGCTTCTTAGCCATAGGAATCAATGTTAAAGTGAGGTGAATACACCAGTGATCAACATGTTGAAATGCGTATAACTTTGGACTAACATAACAATACTTAAGGTAGCGAGACTATCATTTGTGTTGAAAGTTACGATTTTCATATTTATTTAATAATTGATGAAATGCATTATAAACTTCCATATAATAAAGTAAACATAAAATAGAATAACATGTAAGGTGGTTAAAATGTAGATTTTCTGAAGGGAAGCAAGGCAGCCTCAGTAGTGTTTCAAAGCTTAACTCAAGACAATGCAATGTTTATTCGCCACCATTCGTTATGTTGATATTTGCATCCCTTCGATTGAGTAACGCGTCGTAGAATGCAGACACGGGCATGGAAAACACACTTTTGAAAAGCTTGAAGTGTGGCGATTCCAAAAATATATACTTTCCTCGGTCTTTTGGTAGCTATTTAGTCACAATTAGAAGATGAAAACAAGTATACAAATAATAGTCACGCTACCTTCATCAAATAACCGTAATATAATAGACAGTACTTTTCTAGCACCTATAAAGTAATAATGAATCAAAACAAGTCTATTCTAAGCATTCAACCGATACAAACAAGTGCAAACTAAAACATGCCTGAATAGTCAGCGATAAATGGCGCTCATTTGTGCAAATAGTTGTATTACAATAGGTAATAAATAATAAATAATGATATTAAGATAATAAATTATGATACATATCTATCAACCAGCGTTGTCAACCCACGCCAAGACAGTCATTTTTAGCTTCCGTGTCTGCAAAGCACACAAGGTAATGAGTTTGTTTAGTGTCTGTGTTTCTGTCTGTGCATAGTGTAAGCAAAATCTCAAAAACTAAATTTAAAGCGGGGGAGTCGTCGCCTGCGCATGCATCAGATGGCCATAGCATGTCATTGTTTAAAAACATGCGTCTACCCATGAGCCTTTGCGTTTTTAGCTTGTGTTGTTATCGTCGCTTGGGACTCAATTCCCGCGCGTGCGCAGGTGACGACTCCTCCGCTTTAATACATATCATAGGTATCTTTGGATAATGCGCAGGCATGACTAGTTTTAGCGCCATGTCCATGTATGTTAAGTAGTAACTTGCATCTTAATTATCTTATTTCATGTGTAAGCAAAATCTCAAAAAACTTATAAGATTTTGATCAAATTTGGTACATAGGTACCCTGTGCAAACATGGTTAGTATTGGAACCATTACCATGCACCTTAAGTAGATAATTTGCATACTGTCTCATTTTAGCCTGGGTAAGCTAAAGCATTGCCCGTTCGTATTCACACAGGAGCTTTGCAGAGTTTAACTTTGATATACGGTCATCGCAATTACAATAGACCCATAGGTCAAAGTTCAAGCCATAAATAGGATGAGACATATTAAATGAGACACCACTTCTGTCAACATCTCATACCACAATGGCACGTTTGATACTCGTCCTGTTATGTTTAGCTGTGAACGCGTTGTACATCGTACACGGATCTGAACGTAATCCAATTTATCTGGTAGACAATAAGTATACACCCATACATATTGCCATACATAGCGATGTGGAGGAATCTCCAGCCATGATTGACGATATTGAGGTACATTTATAATTCATTTCATCATCTTACATTATTTCCTTGTGAAATATTTGTTGTTTAAAGAACAACATTTTTGCAACGGAACCCAATTTGTCCTGACGATTAAATAATTTAGAACGAACAGATTTTATAAAAATAAGAGGCACATATTGTTTATTTGTATGCTGTAAGACTTTCTGATACTGATACAAAACGAAAGTTGATGTTTAATTTTATTTAAAGGACTTAATCACTGAAGCCTCTGCATATCTCTATGAAGCTACACGTCACCGTGCTCACTTTAAAGACATAACTATTGTAATTCCACATACATGGAAATACAATCCTCATGTAAGAGCGACAACTGAGTCCTATGATACAGCCAACATTATTATTGACGATCCGAACCCCATATATGGTCATAATCCGTATGTATCTCAGCATTCACCTTGTGGGCAGCCTGGCGAATATATGCACTTGACACCTAATTGGATTACAGGTTCAGACACTGTTATAGCAAACTGGGGACCACAAGGTAAGCACCAATCTAACGTGGTTTGTGTCAGTGTTTTTTCACTGTTTATTTTCCAGCCGTTGAGTCGTCCCACTGCAAATTGGATAGCGCCACGCCCGGGGAGGGGTGGGGGGTGGGTGCTGTAACGCAATTTATCCATAGTTATCATCAAATATTTCAGCAGAAAAGTCGACGCGCCCGAATAAATATGAGCAGACTACTCCTTTTCTACGCTACTAACATACGTAGACTGACTAGGGAACTCATCCAAACCTCCAAACATTTTATCTCCAAGCGTTTCATTCGTTTTCATCATAGCGAGTAATATTGTCAATGTCAAAAACAGCTCGAATTGGTGTTGAACACATAAAGTATGTGTTGGCATTAGAGACATCCGGGCATTGGTTTGGATATTTATGATTTATCACCACGGGAATACAGAGCGACAATACAACGCTTAGAAACGCTGCAACCCGACATTCCAACCCAGGTTACGCTAATTAAAAATATATTATTCGTTATGTGACCAGGTGCAGCAGTCAACACGTCGCTATAATACTGAACAAAATGTATATGTCCAAAAAATAACTACCAGACTGAAATTTTTTTTAATTTTAATTAAATTCTTAATTTTCGTTACAAGTAACTGTACTCGAACACTTGTATGCACGACTGATAGTCGATGCACTATAGTATCTGGTCATGACGGGTTAGTTGCCGTATTTTAGTGACGTGGGAGAGCGTCGTTTCTTTATATTTTTTTGCGCAGCAACTTTTCATTTGAAACTAAATTTCAAACTCAATAATGGGTTGACCTGATTTAATAAGCATAGTAATTGCCTGGCGGTGTCTACAGCAACTTTGGATCAAGGTTGACCGAAAAAGTACATATTATTGATTTGTTTTTGTGTATAGGTAAGGTAATAGTTCACGAATGGGGACATTTGCAATGGGGCTTGTTTGATGAGTACCCTACCGAAGATTACAATCACTTCTATCTTCACGATGGCAAGGCGGAACCCACAAGATGCTCAGAGACTATCACAGGTGATACATGGGATTCACAACATAGGATATGTGATCTTGACACCACGGATTTAAGGTCCTTGGACAAAAGAGAATGTAGATTCTACCCACATGAGGACAATACTGGAACAGGCTCCTACTTATACGTTACCTATGTTGATTCTGTGAGTTTGTTTATTAAATTATATTCCCAAGACATGCATTCATTGATGACAGGGTATATTTGAATATGACAATAACGCCATTGTAAATTAATAAATAAGTAAAACATAATACAACAAATAAGACAGTAGGTTGATTGGCGATCCGTTATAAGGGTAGTGATTATAGTGGTTATAAGGGTAATCCTAGCTGATCGCCAATAATCAGTTGAATCATCCATGTGAGTCCATCAGACATACTTCATAGTAACGTTGGTGTTCCACCTATTTAACCTTATTTGATACTAGCTGCGACATAGCTATGACGGAATAGCGTATCCATGTCAAGTACGTAAAATATGTACTATTTTATCAGTACTATGTTAGTGTTTTGTTATTTATCGCTATGACTACCATTTCACAATGCTACCGCTAGACTAATTTTGTTACATATTCCAAAGTAACATGAAATGCATTTGAATATGACTTTACTACCACTGAACACTACATTGATTACGCACTGTTTGCAGCTGTACTGTTATCATGGGGAAATTCTTCTCTCTGAGGTCCTCCACACGTGTCAGGGGGGAATATCGTCTCGTCTTGCCTCTCTATCGCGTCACCTTGAGGCACGGGATCGGGAAAGTCACTTAAAACCTTTCAGTCAAATAGACGCACACAACAAAATACGTTTCAATTCTCGTCTGTAGTCGGTCAGTCGAGTACTCTATAAGACACACCCTGGGGAAAAGTCCCCAAGACTATCGCAAGGCTGGCCCAAGACTCTCCCAAGACTGCGCCTCTCGTGGTGTCCTCGCCATACCAACTAAAAACAACTTTATTCACTTTCAAAACTCTAACCAATTACAAAGCAGTTAAAAGACTCTAAGGCGTAACCTTCAATCATAAAGCCAATCACACTAAGTATTGGACACGTCATATCTTTTGATTAATCGTTCACTATATTAGTAACTGCGAATACCAACTGTCAGAAATAGTAGTCCGGATAGCGACGGTTATCTCGTAATTAGTTCCAAATCACTGAACCAAGTTCCGCCCAGAACCTCGCATGGGACTAAACGATGACAGATATAACACAGCCATTCGCTAGTAATCAGCTGAATAAGTCGATCAACAGATACACGCAAACAAATTCACCATACTGTTTTGAATGATAGTTAGATAATAAATATTACATTGATAGTTTATATTATATTCACTGACCCTCGAAATCTATATATCATCGAATAGGTTTATTCTCAAGAAAATTATATAAATACAAAAAATTACAATAAAATATTAGTAAAAATAATAGTGTTTAGCAACGTTAACAACGTTTCCTACTTTCAGTGAAAGTCATTATATATATACAATCTCTGCCAATCATTGTTTGCACAGGTCAATACACTCTGATATGATGCACATGTTTATAAGTATTTAAACACTTAAATAACTGCAAACTGACAGCAGTAAAATTGAATTGAAATGGGCAACTGAAATTTACATTTGATTTGTAATTCCATCCATAACGATGCAATACTATGGCAGACTAGGCGATCACTAAGTTATCGTAATCTAATATAAAGTTGTCATTAGGCTATGTGAAATAAAGTGAATGAATGGTGATGTCTATGTTTTCAATCATTCCGAAACGATGCAGTGAAAGGTAGGAAGCCATAGTTGCCACCAGTCAGTGGGTGTAACATTCACAATAATATTTATTTCCAATTCTTTTCCGGATAATTTAGCGGGGCTGTTGACTCCAGTCGATACTAACAGTAATGAAGCATTTGTTGTTCTCAATCTGCCATCTCGCATATTGGAAGTCACTCTTGACTTCGCTGTAAAATTACAAATGGTGATTTAAGCAAAAATTTAAAGCACTGTAGCCACTGTCACAACAAGGTCAAAACTATGTGAAATTATAGATAAGAACAATAAATAACATACACATACAATATGGTTGCTTTTTTAGCGTTCGTTCCATACACAAACCAACCATGTTCGTTTGTCAGCAAAATAAAATCACCAAATAATTACAGTATTACAATACAGTCAACCAATGACATGGATGGCATATATAGGAATAGCCAATATATAATCAATTGTATGATAATCTGCGAAACGCGTATCATTTTTCAAACTTGAAGGTATTATGATTTTTTAATGTGAACGTAGAGGGCAGCTAAAGAATTGTACCCAATTATCTTACCTCGTAGTGTCCATTTATATCAAACTGGAGCCGCTTGTTCAAAAAGTTGGAATAATCAACTTCGACATAATACTGTAGTTACAATGTATTAACATTGTCTAAAAGGCATTTACAATCACTCTAAGACAAGCCATCTGCTTCACAATGAAACAACGTTATCACCTATTTGATTCATTCTCTCACTGTGTTCATGCATCATGGTAATATAGACATTCATTAACTTATGTAAATTTCACAAATTAATTAAATTATCTACCAAATGCTGTCAATTGTCAAAATGCATGTATATTATGTACTCTTTTATTACTTTCATATTGGGTTGCTTTTCAAGGTGACAGATTTCTGTCACAGTGAAGAAGATGGTGACTCTAAATCAAGACATAACTCGTTTGCACCAAACAAACACAATGCTCAATGTGTATGGAAGAGCGCATGGGATGTAATGCTTACGACGCCGGATTTTACTAATAATGCAAACCCACCAAAAGATGGCTTAGACACGAGTCCAATATTCAGTATTGTGAAAGAAACTCCATTTCGGACAGTGTTGGTTATGGATCTTTCTGGCAGCATGGATTCAGTAAGTGCATCATTTATTTTCATTTTATTTAGAGGTTACTTCTGTTCACAGTAACAGTTTATGTAACCGATGTGATTAATGTATTCTTTATTTTAGTATAACCGCGTTGATCTTCAGCTACAAGCAGCCACAAGATACATTGGAAACACACTCCCTAATGACACTTGGGTTGGCATTGTCAGATTTGACACAGATGCACTCGTAGTCGCAGACCTCACCAAATTGGACAGTGAAGAAACCAGAATGGATCTGATTTCGAAACTTCCAAGTAACACAGGTGGCTCAACCTGTATTGGATGTGGATTAGAGCTTGGCATAGAGGTATGTGCTATATATTTCATGTACAGTATATGAACGAACTACTTTTCAATTTGTAATAAAACATTGAACATATTACTTGAATCATAGTATTGTACCGCATTCTAGGTCCTAGAGAATAGTCCATTTGGTGATGCAGGTGGTGGAGTCATATTCCTTACCACTGATGGCGAAGAGAACAGTTCACCATACATTGAAGATGTACTGCCAGAGTTACTGGTGAAGGAGGTGAGAGTTGATTGTTTGGCATTTGGTGATGACGCAGACGAGACACTACAGAACCTTGCTGAAGAAACGGGTGGACGATTTGCGTGGTATTCCGAACTTGTGACTTCAACGGCATTGCACGATTCTTTCACTGCATCGGTGACCGAACGAATGAAGTCAGACACGGAGACAATTGTAGAGGTCAGTATGACAACAAACTGTACTTCCAGCAGCCGTCGATCAGGAAGCATGGATCATCATGTGCATGTGAATCAAAATTATCTTTATTTATATTCACAGTTGGTTAGTGATAAGATCGTTGTTGATGCTAAACTTACTAAGACTGGTTATATTGATCTCGACACTACTATTGGCCGGGACACGAATTTCTTCTTTTTTTGGGACTTTTCAAGTACAAGCGAGATTGTTGTACAGGTGATTCGCCCAGATGGCAGTGTGATAGATCACACGGATGCCCAGTACCACACTAACGCTGCCAAACGTTCAGTAGTAATCAGAATTGACGGTATAGCAGAGGTATGTGCTTAAATTCAACAATAAAAAAACAATATTAATGATTGAACCTGATTCTGAATAATTCATATCTTACCTGTGTTACAGTCTGGCACATGGACATATGATATCTATAATCCAGATTACAATGCTCAGACAGTGGAAGTACATATCGACTCAAGATCTGCTGACCCTTCTACAGAACCAATGAGATTGAGCACTTTTCCGAGTTCCAGTTTTGTAGACCAGTCACCACCAATGGTTATCATCTATGCACATCTGAGACAAGGCCATACACCGATTATGCAGGCAAAAGTAATAGCCACCGTGGAGAGACCAAGTCCCCATTCTCCTGTAGATTTACAGTTATCTGACAATGGATCTGGTAGGGATCTTTTAGTATCACACCTTGCATTATGTGCATTCGTACCTCAAAGCTAATTATTATAATTATTTAATATAATGTTGTTTTTATACAGGTGCTGATATAACCAAGGACGATGGTACTTACAGTGCGTATTTTGTAGATTTTGTTGAGTCTACATGCACCACGTGTTATTACAGCATTCAGGTCGCTGCAGATGATAATGGAGGAGCTGCTGTGTTCAGTCTAACCATTAAAGGAGGAGCAATGCCAAGGAATTATTGTGAGTCATTGTTTATTAAAAGACTGTGTTGTGTAACGTAGAAACGGTTTGAGTTAAACAATCTTGAATATACATTTTCGTGTCTGTTAGATCAAATTCCAGAAGAAGAACCTACATCCATTGGTGATTTTATTAGAGTTGCATCTGGTGGAGGAATTAAGGTGGACGACAGTGTGACTTATATTGATTGGAGTGATCCCAGTGACGACCCATTCCCTCCCGCACGAATAATGGATATACGTGTTAGTGGTACATCCTATGAAAACCAGACTGTTACACTTGAATGGACGGCTACAGGTGATGACCTTGACCAAGGGACAGGTATGTAATGACTTATTGGAATGTCGATCTTCGTTGGTTTCTTCATACTGAATTTAGGAAGGGCGTCGATTAACACAATCAGCCGAGACAGGACAAACATTGACCGTAATTCATGGGGATCATGTTCGTAATTTGTGGGCCGAAATCCCAAATAATTAAACAAGTATTATTATTATAATACATGATATTTTATTTTACATCGCAAAACTACAACAGAGCTATGAGTTGATCGCGGTGAAACAGCCGCCTTGAAGACGATGCAACTTCAACTAGCCATTTCTTACCTTGAAATAAAAAAAAATAAAAATTCGAAGAGCATCGGCGAAAATATTAATAATCATTCTTATCAATCGCTTGCTTTATTTATTCGAATCCATGAAATTCACGAGTTTTTTTTTTACATTTGTTGTCAACTTCCGCGCTAAAAAGATTGAAAATATGGGTATGGTTCTTTTGCGAGGTCGTGTTGATAATACGGACAAATATAGTTCTGTGACCCAGGTCGTGCTCCGATCAGGTGACTCTCAGCCAAACAATGATGTTGTAACAAAGCACATTTGACGCTAATTGAAGGGTTGTCGTACCATCCAATCTCTGGCGTCGATTCACATAGTGTTTTTTGTGCTGTGATAGGCTTCAAAATTATTCACTGAAAAACATCGATATATTTTGACAAACGGATGGAATTTGACCTCAGTTCAAAAAGAAAATACTAGGCTGAGATACATTAGAGACTACGCGAATCAGTTTTCTCTGCAAGTTGTGAAATAAAGTAAACCAGAGTAGGGTCGATGATTTTCAGCCCTGAGGGACTTCTATGCGAATCCTGAGTTTCGAATTGTTCATCGACTGGCCACCAAATATGTATAGTATAACTAAATTTGAGACGTGTTTTTTAAGCCCAATAAATTATTCATACAAGCTCAAGCTCTGTTCGATTTTTTCAGGGCATGTGGCCGTTTTTAATCGAAAATATTGTTTGTGAGAACTATGCTAGCGTTTTAAAACACTAATTTGAGCAACGTTATTTCGCAATTTCGATCTTCCGTAAATCTGGGACGATGTATCAAGGTCTAAAGTAACCATTAGTAATCATTTTTTGAAAAATCAAGAAAAAAGTTAAAATTTCCCTTCTCGCTACCTTAATCATTTTATTTAGTTATCAGTATTAGGTTTATTTAAATTAATTTTCACAGGTTCTTTGTATGACCTGAGATATGAAACAAACTTTGCAAAGCTAGTGAATGATTTTGATAACAGTGCACGGCTGTTTGATGATGATCTCACTGAGGGCACATTATCAGATCCAAAAGCAAGTGGTATGAAGGAAATGGTGACAGCTATACTACCATATCGTGGAGCAAACATCACCTATTACTTCTCCGTCCGAGCTATTGACGATGTTGGCAATGTAGGACATATATCAAATGTAGCCCAAACTACTATAATAATACAAGCTGTACCCACTCCTGCTGCTATTACATCTACAGTCCCAGAAGAAGAGATATCTGATAACTCCCATAAAATTGTAGCTGTAGCACTCATTATTTTAATCGTGTTTGTATTCTTATGCATGATAGTTTGTCTGTGTATGTGTTGTAAGATGTCAAAGCTTTCAACAAAGGTTCATGATATAAACATCAATTGCAATAAAGCTGATGCCAGGAATGCCAGGAAATTTGGAAATATGGTGTAATAAACATGAACGTTTATCGGTTCTATTTCAGTGAACAATGATAATATATAATTTGTGGGTGCTACTCATTTCTCTTGAATTATAAGTAACACACTTCTAATTGTCAATGATAGAGTTTATGCTATTCATTAATAATAAAGTTCTTCAACATATATGTATGTCTGAAAATAGCTGTTTATTCACACATCTGGTAAACTCATACAGTATGACGTGTTATAATTTGTTGGATTTGTTAAGCTATATAAATATAATATTTACGAGGTCACTATATAATTGTTTTACATGCTTTACAATATCATTTTAATAAACACTTGTATACCTCCTGAAATATGTATGGAGCGCCATAACTGTCTTATGTGATGTTCTATCTTTATGTTATGTAGACCTTTTTTTATGTTATGCAGTCCTATCTTTATGTTATGCAGTCCTATCTTTATGTTATACAGTCCTAACTTTATGTTATGCAGTCCTATCTTTATGTTATGCAGTCCCATGTTTATGTTATGCAGTCCCATGTTTATGTTATGCAGTCCCATGTTTATGTTATGCAGTCCTATCTTTATGTTATGCAGTCATATCTTTATGTTATACAGTCATATCTTTATGTTATGCAGTCCTAACTTTATGTTATGCAGTCCTATCTTTATGTTATGCAGTCCCATGTTTGTTATGCAGTCCTATCTTTATGTTATGCAGTCCCATCTTTATGTTATGCAGTCCTATCTATGTTATGCAGTCCTATCTCTATGATATGCAGTCCTATCTTTATGTTATGCAGTCCTATCTTTATGTTATGCAGTCCTATCTTTATGTTATGCAGTCCTATCTTTATGTTATGTAGTCCTATCGTTATGTTATGTAGTCCTATCTTTATGTTATGCAGTCCCATCTTCATGTTATGCAGTCCCGTATTTATGTTATGCAGTTATGTAGTCTCGTATTCATGTCATGTAGTCTCGTATTTATGTCACGTAGTCTCGTATTTATGTTATGCAGTTTCAGCTGTCTATAATACCATGAACAAGCAAACAAGTCATTCGCCGCCAAGTCATGATGCTTCATAAAGCACCCACCCCTCTAAAAGTAACTTACTGACCCAACACCGTTCTGTGCACATATTCACAGGTATTCTATATTAAAACATATTCGCATGTATAGCATTACAATAGAAAAAAATGTATAATGAAGCAAAGCATTATGGGTATTCTCTACTTAACTGTACAAAAACTTCAAAATCGCCTTCCATCGACATATGAACATTTCTGCTTACATTGTTTTTAATTGGATATGAAACCGGCGCGTTTTCTCGTTTTGTTACATCTGTATTTTCATTCAGTGTTTGCATTCAGATTCATAATGCTAATATTACATGTAATAACGTAAATAATTGAGTTTTGACGTTTTCCTCATAAAGGTGTGATGGCTGTCCCATTTCTGGACACCAACACTAATAGTGGCTGTTGTACTTAACAAATGAACTCAGCACTAAACACAAAGGAAAGTTTATTGGCTTAAAGTAAGATTTAGATTATGTTATAATTATAATGGGAAGATTTCTAAGCAGAAATGTTCATATGGACCATTCATTGACAAGTATTTCAATGCATTATTTGAGTGTATATGAAGACTGGATTTAAGTTTTCTGTCAGTATTTAAAATGAGAATTGTGTTTATGTTTGAGCACAACGCCACGACTGGAAGACAAAATTTCCATCTTTATACGTTTCACAGTAGTGCACATGTTCAACACGGGTAAAGTAATATGCGCATTATCATATGACGGATCAACTGTGATGGTGTCATATTGTTTTAAATGCGGTGATATTTTGACTCGTGTTATTTGACTCGTGTTGACCTCGATGTTAATTTTTGATTCGGGGTCTTTTTATGGGTCGAAACAGTACTAGACGTTATTCCGTATTATCGTGGACGTTTGGTTTAATTAAGTTGTGAGTCTGCGCACTAGACACAAACAAGTGTTGTAAACACGGAAGTTACTCTCATTTTCAGCCAATCAGGCGTGCCGTAACAGCGAGTATTTCCTTGACTTACCCAGAACTCTGTGCGAATCCCCCTTGATTCTGACTGATGGCCATTTTCGTTCATGAAATCGTCGGATATCATCAGAAAACGCGGGATTTGTGCAGTTTTGAATAAAATCAAGTTAGCGATTATGAACAATGGTTATTAACGTAACACCCGATTCCCTCTGAACTTTTTGTTTAGCATTTTAAGGTAAGAAATCGACACTTGAATCCGACATGGTGTCGATTTCATAATTAAAGCATTTTTGCTGCGGCAGCAAGTATATGTATGATCTAACTTTTCCTGCATTACATTGTCCCAAATATATTATATAACTGGAGACATACGTTGGTTAACGTTGACTGTATCTGTCCAGTATGTGTAATGCACACGATAACTATGTGACTACGCTATCGGGAAAACATTAGGTTAGAGCGGAGGGGTCGTCACCTGCGCACGCGCGGGCACTGAGTCCCAAGCGACGAGAACAACTCATGCTAAAACGCAAAGGCTCATGGGTAGACGCTTGTTTGTAAACAATGACACGCTATGGCCATCTGACGCATGCGCAGATGACGACTTCCCGGCTTTAAAGTTTGTAATTGCTGCATGGCTTAGAACATATCACAATATTTGAAAAGTAATTTAATTCAAGCAGACACTAAATACGCCGTACACCTTCAGGGAAACGCGATATAAGGTAGACAAAAAGTATTTTCAAGGTACAGTTATCCATTTGTATTTTCCTCCAGATCTTAGGAATCAAAACAGAGAACATCAGATACGAGTTTCCCGTCATGTCACACGTCAGTCAGTCACACATTCAAGTAATGTTTTTCATGTTAAATACCCGAATACCTTATTCTTAAGGCTCATTGGTAGACGATTGTTTGTAAACAATGACACGATATGACCATCTGACGCATGCGCAGGTGAGCTAAATCTCGGGAAAACAACTTCAAACAGATTTTTGTCACGATTTTCGTGCTGGCGAGTGTTTAATAAACATACTATCGATTGGTTATAGTTTCTGTTGCGTGCTATGTGAAATTGGTATACTTTTATCGACTTTTATTTGCGATGCCATTTGGCGTGGCATGTTTGTGTTACGCAAGTCTATGGGAGAAAGCATAGCTCTTCTTTGTTTATAAAAATCCTAATATCTGAAAATAGCAAATGTAATGACACCAAATGTACAGGAAATGACTAAAATACCATCACAAAGACTAAAGACCGACAAAAGAAGAGCTATTGACCACAGCTAGACTTTTCCAATCTAACTTGACAATGCGATTGGTTAATATTCAAATACAAACTTGACTTGATGGAAGACATTTGTGACAACATATATCTAATTCATCGCGGCAAAACTCTATTATTTGACGGCAAAACAGTATTACTTCACGACTAAAATCTTTTATTTCACGGCAAAACTATATTACTTCCAGCAAAACGTTATTACTTCACGGCAAAATACTATTATTTCAAAGCAAAACTATGTTACTTCACGACAAAACTCCACAATTTCACGGCAAAACATTAATTGTTAACGACAAATCTTTTTTCACGTCAAAGATCTATAATTTCCCGGCAAAACCCAATTATTTCTCGGCAAATGTTACTATTTTACGAAAAAAAACAAACTATTACTTTTTTTTCAACTGAAAAACATTAATTTTTACTAACTAAAAAACATCATTATTTCACATGAAAACTCCATGAACCCACGGAAAAGCCCTATTATTTCACGGAAATACACTAATAGTTTACAGTAAAACTTTAATTACAGTAAAACTTTAATTAGTTGCGGGAAAGCTCTGTTACTTCGCAACAAAACTATCACTTGTCGCGGCAAAACTCTCCTTCTCCGAGTCCTACGGCGGAAGTTGCCATGATATCCCATAATTCCCACTTCTTGGAACCATTTTCAATCAAATGCAAGACTATTCAATGTCGGTTTAGTAACTGTGATCACCACCGCTGTCTACTGCAAATTCGTATACATAGCAATGCCGCGTTTCGTGTTATTATCCAACACATCCGGAGACGCTATCAAAGTGCTAACTCAACTGAGAAAGATGGGAGCATTCATTGAGTACAGTGAAGGAACAGTTTGCTGGAGCATTTGGCGCTACAGAGTGGCGCATATGACGGGCCATTAGCGCAATAAATAGCATGCGTCGATATCGACTAAGCGATGGCAATAACGACAAAAATATAAGACGATATCGACTAAAATTACCCAATCAGAAAGCCCAAACGTCGTTATCGATGTATATTTGTCGTTATCGTTGTTCTAACATCGTTATCGATATTTATGCGCCGTTAGTGCAAAAATAACGCAGCGTTATTGAGAAGCGTTTGGCGATAACGCTGTTAATTAGGCGAGAACGACATCACTGGGTCGTTATTGACGTGGTGGGGTAACAAGTGTTTAGACTGAAAGTCGATATCGACATGAAGTTGCTACTAAATGGCGATATCGACGTTAACAATTAAACAGTGTTTAGCTGGGAAGCAATAACGATTGCACAAGTGTTTAGCAAGAAGAGTTATCAATAGATCATATTTGGTTTTAAGCGATATCGATATAAACGTATTATAAGTGTTTAACCATGAAGAAATAACTAACTGAGAAGTAGTCAATGGTGTTTAGAAATAAATCAAATCATCGAGGCTTTATCAATTGCGATTTGTCGATAACAAAGTGTTTTGGATGATATGTTCAATGTAATTTTTACGTTTTATATCAAACGTAAATGTCAGTAACGTCACACTTGTAAAGGATTTCGGCATAAATAGTGCGGCAAACATTAAATTCGTGATCCACATAGGCAATTAGCATAAGTTAATGTCTTAACTATCTAAAGATGCCAATAACGCCATTCATTTAGGCGATAACGCTGTAGCTTATTTTTTGGCATAAATCTGCCTTGATTTTGGTCGTTTTTTGTTTTCTCGGTGTTGTTGACTCG